ATTGACTCAAAGTCTCCCAGCTGGCTTTCATTATTAAAGAGGAACTAGAACTCACCATCTCCTGGTGATTGGCCCAAAGTCACCCAGTTGGCTTTTCTGCCTAAGGTAGGACTAGAACTCCTTGTCTCCTGGTCATTGGCCCAGAGTCACCCAGTTGGCTTTCATTATTCAGGTAAGACTAGAACTCCCTATCTCCTGATGATTGACCCAGAGTCTCCCAGCTGGCTTTCGTGCCTAAGGAGGGGCTAGAACTCCCCATCTCCTGTTTTTTTTAGCCTGGCGACTTCTCTATTAGACCAAACTGGTTTTGTGCCAAGGGTTATGGATTGTGTAGTTGCAATCACCATCTTGAATGTGTTGACCCAGCCCAGCCCCATGGGTCTAGGTAGAGCCACCCCAACGTAAGACCACCGATAGTTCAAAACCGAGAAATAGATCTCGAACAGAACATGAAGAGCGAGGATTTACGTGTGCCATTTTCATTTTGAGCTTTTTGTCTTCACAGAACTGTGGAATGAAGGATTGGAAGGGACTTTTGGAGATCATCCAGTCCAACTCTTGACCGCTCCAGGACTCTACCCCTGTCCTCCCAAGAAGGTGACTCCACCATCTTGGATGCTTCATCTGGAGAACTTTTCAGTTAGAACATTCTTCCTGTGGTGTCCAGCCAAAAGCTACTTTCTTATCACTCCATAGAATCGTAGAATGAGAAGATGGGAAGATGCCTTGAAGAGCATCTGGTCCACCCCCTTGCTCCATGCAGGGACCCACTCCTCCTTCATCCAACTTTGACTGAACACCTTCCATAAAGGCCACCCCCCTCCACGGCGGCCTCCTTAGTGATGGGCCTTCGTGGAAGTCCACTTTCTCCAGCATCACAGGAACGCAACATCTTCTCAACGGTAGGAGTATCTTAAGAGGAGGACCTCAACTTGATTTCTTCCTTTTGCTTCTCTTTCAATTTTTTTTAATTCCTTTCTCCACCTTGGATCTTCTGACCAACGCCAACTCCAAATCAAGACCATCACCTACTCCTGCTAAGAACGTCAGCCCCCAACGACCTATCCTTCTGGAGATCTTCGAGAGTCAGTTAGGACCCATCTCTCGGTGTCACGTAGAAGTGGACAACGACGGATGGAGCGAAGGACTTTTTCCCTCGGCTGGGTGTCATCGTTTTTCACGGAAGGAGAAGAATCTTCAGCTAATTCTGGGGTGTTGGCTTCCATCTTCTCTCAGCCACCTTGGTTGGAAGATGGCCTCCTGGCATTTCGGTTAAGAGAAGACAGGTCTCCTGTGAAGACGGAGGATGTTGTAGGTGTTCAACCCTGGGACATCAAAACCAGGAGAGAGGCCCTTGGGGTTAAACGGGTAGAAGTTGAACAGCTGCCCGTCCTGAGCCTCGAGAGAAATCGAGGCAGGTCCGATCTTCAGGATACACGGGAATTCCTTCTCAAAGACCGCCTGGAAGGTCCGATCTTCGAGGTGATGGAGCTTAATGGTGCGGTAACTTTCAGGGATGATCTTCTCGATGTGAGGCCCGAACTGCTGCATCAACAGCTCTCCTCCGGGCCCCACCTTGATCTCGTAGAAGGTCAGGTTGGAGAAGGTGTAGTAGCCCACGTAGGGAGCAGCGCTTGGTGGAGACTGGAGCCTCTTCTCCACTTCCCGAAAAGCGGACTCCAGGGAGGGTATCAGGTACTCGTAGATCTGGGTTACGATGTCCCTTCCTTGGGGGCGAGGACCGGTCATCAAGACGATGAAGCTCAGGCGGAGTTTGGGGACCAGGGAGAAGGTGGCCGAAAAGCCATCGATGTCTCCGTCCTTCCGGAGGACGTCGTAACCCATCTGCTCGTTAATCTCCCAGGGGGTGCCCGTCTTGTTGGCGAAGTAGTCCCTGGAACACTTCAAGAGCGGGGTCAACATGACCTTCAGGGTCTCGGGCTCCAGGAGACGCCGGTGGTAGGTGCCCAAGAAGACCATGGCTAACTTGGCCAGGTCGGCGGCCGTGGAGAACATCTGGCCAGAAGGCCTATACCAGCCCAGATCGTAGAGAGGAGCCACTTCTCCACTGCCGTAGACGCCGACGGTCATTCTGGAACGGACGTTGGGCGTGATATCAAAACCCGTGTCCTCCATCCCCAGGCGGTCAAGGATGTTCTCCGAGACCCAGTTCTGGTACTCGCTCTTGGCCACCTGCTCAGCTAAGACGTAAGCCAATAGGGAGAAGGCCAGGTTGCTATAATGGCACCTGCAGAAGAAAAGCAGAGGAGATTACTAGGAGACTGTGAGTTCTAGTTCCATTTTCGGCATGAAAGCCAGTTGGGTGCCTTTGGGTGAATCACCAGGAGACAGGGAGTTCTAGTCCCACCTTAGGCATGAAAGCAAACTGGGTGCTTTTGGGTGAATCACCGGGAGACAGGGAGTTCTAGTCCCACTTTAGGCATGAAAGCAAGCTGGGTGCTTTTGGGTGAATCACCAGGAGACAGGGAGTTCTAGTCCCACCTTAGGCATGGAAGCAAGCTGGGTGCTTTTGGGTGAATCACTAGGAGACAGGGAGTTCTAGTCCCACCTTAGGCATGAAAGCAAGCTGGGTGCTTTTGGGTGAATCACCAGGAGACAGGGAGTTCTAGTCCCACCTTAGGCATGGAAGCAAGCTGGGTGCTTTTGGGTGAATCACTTGGAGACAGGGAGTTCTAGTCCCACCTTAGGCATGAAAGCAAGCTGGGTACTTTTGGGTGAATCACCAGGAGACAGGGAGTTCTAGTCCCACCTTAGGCATGAAAGCAAGCTGGGTACTTTTGGGTGAATCACCGGGAGACAGGGAGTTCTAGTCCCACCTTAGGCATGAAAGCAAG